CTCCCCATTCCAGCATGTTCCCAAGGGCTCCCTCCCTCGAAGAGTGCTCACCATCGACCACCAGCACCCACCCCCCCACAGCCAGCCCTACCTTGCCAGCAGGCATCCAAGTCACTCCCTCATCCTTCCCTCAACTTCCATAGCTGTTAAGAGACTTCAAATTTGTGCCTCATTTCCAAAGCAGCCAATTGCCACTCGCCCCTCAGGCCTTGCCACTAGCTGATTGGGTGCAGGGGACAGAGGGAGGCAGGAAAGAGGTTGGGGATATGCCCATGATGATTGTGTGACCTGTGTTGACCATGGCGGTGCAGCAGCACCGTAGTGCTGAAGCAGCCACAAATTTCAATCCCACAGGAGACATGGGTCCTGGATTTTGGGTGCATTCTATAAGTTAGCCCATTAGAGATACCTTGGTTCAAAAATTGTTGCCCTATGATGCACCGTTTCACCTAGTTGAAGGTTACACACATGGAAGTTTTAGTAGTATATATAGAAACCATCCCATGTGAATATATAAAGCAAAGCTAGTAGAAATGGCAGCAAATTTGGATACGTAATTGAAATAGAGACTGAAAGAACCTTGCTTTAGGAGATTTCTTGAGGGATCAGCTTCTTGAACTCAGAATCTAGCTACTCTTTTAAAAAAACAGGGCTACCCAGGAGCTACGCTTAGATTCTTAATGTATGGAACTTACTGGCTTAGCTCTCTGTACAGGTTAGTACAGTATGCCACTGAAAAGACTCAAAGTTATTCCAAACAAATGGTGCTTTTATTTATATCTGAGTGTGTGTGTGTGTGTGTGAATGATTAAATTTAGAACTGTTTTAGCAGTTTGCATAAGAACTTTTTTTTTTAAAGGAGAATCTACATTATACTAATAACAGCTACATGATTAACTTTTGCAAGTCTAAGGAAGCATTCTGGAATTCTGAAGTCTACAAAAATGGTTTATCCCCATCACAAAAAGTCACTGAATGCCAGGAGCAAATTGTAATATTGGAGTTCATATGAATATTTCTATTTCATTCAATATTGAAACTCTTACCTATGTATATACCTACAGTATAACAATTTCTAATAATACTTTTAAACCCAAGTAAAACATATCTTAAAAATTAATGTGAAGCTCATGACTTCAGAGGTAGTAAAGGAAAAGGAAAAAGAAAACATTTCAAGAAGATTTTAAACCACTCTCTAACTCATTTCCATAAATAGAGTTAGGAGATACACATTCATACTTGAAAGCAGAAAAGCAAACTATGTGGAGCTCCATTTATCTACTTCAAAAGAAGAGTTGAGTTAGCATATAAACCTGCTGAGATCCATAATGCGGAGTTCTAAGGAACATGGGAAATTTCAAACATAATTTTTAAACCCCTCAGACTAATCACACTTCAGTGTGCTGACCTGTAATGTGAATAACTGTAGAACTTTTGCCCTCAGCAGAGGATATTCTCATCATGAATTACATTACAGAGCTTCTAAAATTTTCCATCCTTATATTATAAAATATGATCTCTGTTACAGGAAAGGATGCAATGGCAGCAAAATTCTTCAAACTGTTGTAAGGTACATTAAAATGCTGTTACTTAAGGTGCACTGTAGTGCGTAAGACATTAATTCAATCTTTTCACAGTACATTTGAAATGCAGTTGTTTTTTTTATCAAAGGTTCTGCACCAAGTACTAGAAATGTAATTTGCAAAGAATTAATGCAGCCCAAGACATGGTATTTGCCAGATTTCACTCAGGTTTCCTCTGAATATTCTTGTTTATAAAGAAACATCACAAATGAGTGAGAGGATAGATAAATAATTGAGTGACTTGGAGCCAGTCAGAGCTTCTCAGTTAAATCTACCTCATAGGACTGTTGGGTGGACAAAAGAGGAGCAAACCTCCATCTAAATTATCTTAAGCTCTCGGAGGAAAGCTATTTATAAGCCCATAAATAGCTTTTTCATGCTATGCTTCATACACCACATTAGGTAACACAACAGCCTCTCCAGAGTTACCTCTTTTCAAAATGGTGAAATATAGTAATCCTAGTTTTGGCCTTAATCTCCATCAGCCAGTTACGTGACCAATGAATTCCATGGATTGTGGAAGTTATTGATTAAATCGTCAGAGGGTGCCATCAAGGTCTCTATCTAGGCAATCATGATGCCCTATGAAATATGGTTTGGCTGCCTTCTTCCCCTTCAATGTTCTTCAGAAAAAGACAGTTTCAAGTACATCTTAAAAGATACAATCCAATAGTTATGTAAGACAAGAGATCCTTTCTGATGGGAACTGAAGTCCAAAACCAGGTTTACCATATTTCAACTTTTTTAAAGGACCTTCTAGAGAAGTGATAGTTCTATTTAATGTGTTGCAGACAACACAGTGAGAGAAAACAATATTTTTTAATGGATATATATACCGCCTTTTCTCTGAGAGTTAACAGCTTTTACATGGCAATGTCTCCTCATTTTACTTTTCCCCAAAGCCCAACCTATGAAGCACTTTTGGCTGAGAAATATTGACTGGTCCAAAGTCATTCAATGAACTCCATGGTGAAGAGGCGACTTGAACCTGGTCTTCCCAAGTCAACAACCAATACAGTAAAACAAACACACTTATACACAGATAATAGTTATTCTGTCATGTTCATATACCACATGGTGCTCCTCCTCTCTCTCTCTCTGCCCATCACCTGTAATAACAATCATATTATCAACAGGAGTAAGAGATGAAGAAAGCTTGACTCTTGGACTGGGAGGCAGAAAGACCCAATATTACCATATATAACTGTGGATAGGCCCATTCACAAATAAGCTGACTCTCAAAATTTCAACCAAAACACGACGAAGAATTCATCGCCCACAGATAAGCTGACCCTCAAATTTTTAACCTCAGCAACAGGCAGGAAACTGCAAACTGTTACATCGTCATTTATAAAACTTAAATGATTTTAAGTCCGTGACATGTTTTAAAAAATCTGAACTCTGGTCCACAGATAAGCTGAACCCATTCTGGGGGGTGCATTTTGGAAACTAAAATTCTCAGCTCATCTGCAAGTATATACAGTAAGTTGGAGGCCAAGAAGGGAGTTTGGGTGGAACCTGGGTTAAAACTGGGGATATGGATGGGCAAAGTGGAAAAGCAGCCTTATATAAATGAGGAAGTTCAAGGGAAAGTAACAATAAAACAAGGCATATTTGAAGGAGACTCACTGCTACCATTACTCTTTGTATTAACAATGATTGCATTCACAAGTATCACAAACAATTTGCTTTATATGGGTGACCTAAGACTAAACAATAAATCAAAAGCTGAAACTGAATCTTGGTTGGACTCTTTCCACATATTTAGTGGAGACAGGAAGGAAATTCAGCCTGGTCAAATGTAGAGTGTGACATTTAAAGGAGGCAAGATTATGGGAGAAGGTGGGTTATGGCTAACAAATGGAAATGAGCAAACCTCATCCCATTTTAGCACTGAAGATGTTACCTAGCCGGGTAATGAAACGTTTGCAAGAAAAGAACCAAGCTCAGAGAACCCCAAAGACTCCACAAATGGAAATGCCATTAAACACCTGGCAACTGAAGAGGGAAACAAATATTTAGGATTCATGGAGGTTTCTGATTTATTGCATGACCAAGTTTAAAAAGATTAGTGGTTCAAATTGTCAGACAAGTCCCAAAAAAATCTTAAAATTTGAAATAAATGGCAGAGATATTATGGCACAGGTTCTTTTTTAAACTATCCCTAATTGGATTGACCCAGACTCAAAACAGACACAAAAGCACTGCATGCTTAACAGGTGGTTTCTTTATATCTCCCTATAAGGGTTGGGGAGATGTTTTATTTTGTAAAAACAAACTTATAAAAGTGATAGGTGAGTGCTTCCTATATTCCATTCTGTTGCTATTTCTATACTATTACTATGACAATTATGTCAATTACTAAGACAACTACTATGTTCTATACTATTAGTGTTCAAAATTCTATACTCTATTACTATTACCTATTACAATTCCCTAGATACTATGCTTCATGCTATTACTAGTATGCATCAACGTTTCTTCCTTAAGCCTGTTGTGTCTTAAGTCCCCTCTCTCTGAGATTTCTTCTTCTTTTCCTGTTAATGGCCAGCATGTAGAGCTCTTGGACCTCCTTTACG